TTACAAGAGTAGCTAAAGCCACTTGACTCACAGGATAAGGTTCTTTTTCTTCTTATTTATTTATATATTATTATCATTATAATAGATGAATAAATTGTTTAATATTGTAAATTACACTCAATTATACAATAAAAATTCTTACATAAAAGAATGGTCGCTCTGACCTAGTGGCATTGAACTCTGAGTTAGGATTGTTCACCTCCAATGAGTTACACGTTCGAGTCTCACGAAATCCCTTTCTCCCTCCCCCAATTAACCCTATAAATAATTACAAATTGTTCAAAAAAAAAATTCTTACATAAAAAGTGAGTCTCTTCATATTAAAGGCCCTCTTCAATCCAAGGATCTTGTTGCATCCAACTGTAAAACAATAAATTTGTTACATATTACCATCCTGAGTATGAGTATTAGAGGTACCCTCTCATCCAAGTATTTTATTGCGCCGAATGGTAAAGCAACAGACTTTTTTTTTTTTTTTTGAGAAAAGGTAATTTATATACTATTGCAGAATAATGTACATTATTTACAGAGACCATCCTGTAGCAATGATGAGAGCATTACATTGGGAGGCCTATGTGCCCAAAAAAAGGGGTATTGCCCTTTAAGTGATTGTTTTGCCACCCAGTCAGCAACCTTGTTACCCCTCCTTGGTACATATGAAAACCAAAAATCCTGGTGGCGATGAGCAATTTGTCTGATGGATAAGATGAGAGACCTAATCTCCCATGGGATGGGTTTGTCGGGTTGCAAAAGGTGAGCAATTAAGGCCTGATTGTCCGATTCAAAAAATACATTGTAAGTTCCCAGGCTTTCCACGTATTGCACAGCTTTGTATAGAGCGGCAGCCTCTGCCATAAGTGGTGAAAGTGCTACTGAGAGCCATGAATTGCCAAAACATATTTCACCTTTAAAGTTGCGAGCTACCATGGCAAAAGCTGCAGAACTTGTTTGGGAGGAGTAAGAAGCGTCCGCATTGACTTTGAGGAAGCCCATAGGAGGTTTGACCCAAGATGTTTGCTGCTGTTTGCCCTGTTCTCGTGATCTGGAAGGGGTAGCCAGCAACTTTGTGTGTAAGAGAGAGGAGCATTCTTGGGTCATAGCAGAAATACGAGCAAGGATTTGGTGGGGATTTAGGACAACATGTTCAAAAAATTGCTCATTTCTTGCCTTCCATATATGCCAACATATAATAGCACATTGTTCTACCAGACATGGTAATCCCATTTGCTTAGCAGTACCAGTGATGTATTTCCACCATTCACTAAAGCAGCTCACCCTCAGTTGCCTAGGATTAAGTCCCAAGGCTGAACCAAACCGTATTGGTTCCACATGAGGGCAGTAAAATAAAAGATGCATTAAGGTTTCATCGGCCATATGACAATTCGAGCATGTTGTTTCTTGTGTAATTCCTCTTTTTGCCAAATTGTCTAAGGAAGGCAATGAGTTAAGTATTGCTCTCCACAAGAAAATACGAACCTTTGAGGGGACTTTCAACTTCCATAAGTGTTTCCACTTGACCGTGTTCAGGCTCCTATTGGTAGAAAGCATCCCTAGCTCAGGGGCAGCATTATATGCTAGTAAGTAAGCACTTTTGACTGAAAAGTTACCATATTTATCATGGTGCCACACCAGAGAGTCACCACAAGCTCCGGTTGGGATTTTAAGAATTTCCCTACTCACTTGATTACTGAAGCTAGCATTTAATTTTGCAATATCCCATTCCCTCTTATGATCAAGTAGCTCACATACATAAGAGAACACAGAATGAGTTTCAGAGGGAGAGTTCACCTTAAAACCAGGCAAAGTGGGAACCCAGCTGTCTTGGTAAATCAAGATATTTTGACCAATCCCAACATTCCATCTCATTCCGATTTGAACAATGTCTCTGCCTTTTAGAATGCTTGACCATGCCCAAGAGGGATGACTTCCTTTTTTGGCTGTCAAAAAGGAAGAGTTTGGGAAATATAAGCTTTTTAAGACACGTACCCATACTGCATTAGGATTTTGCAATAATCTCCAAGCCTGGCAGGCTAACATTGCAAGATTAAAACAGTAAAGGTCATTAAACCCCATCCCTCCCACATGTTTGCTTTTCGAGAGTTGGTTCCAACTAACCCAGCATAATTTCCTTTCATCATTTTGTTGAACCCACCAAAATTCCCTGATGATCTTATTAATCTCTTGGCAGACACTTGTAAGGAATAATAAACATGACATGGTAAAGGTTGGGATAGCCATGGCAACAGCTTTAATAAGAATTTCTCTCCCTGCTTGCGATAGCAAACTCTTTTTCCATTGGGTGAGTTTTTTTTGAATACTGTCGACCACATAATTTAAACAATTCTTTTTGGATTTGCCCCATGAAGTTGGAACACCCAGGTACTTAGTAAAAGCAGAATCAGTTTTGATCCCGAGTTTATGACAAAGAAGATGCCGTACCTCATGGGGAGTGTTTGAACTGAACATTGCAGCTGATTTTGATTAATTAACTCGCTGGCCAGAAACATCTCCATAGACTTGCAAAATGGTTTGTAATTGGCAAACCTCTTCCATTGTGGCCCGACAGAATATTAGGGAGTCATCTGCAAAGGGAAGATGGCTAATAGTAGGGCTTCGTCTTCTGATCTTATAGCCACTGATTTTCTTTGCAGAAGTAGCTGTCATTAACAATCGAGATAAGATATCAGCTATGAAAAGATAAAGATATGGGGATAATGGGTCTCCTTGTCTGAGTCCTCGTAGAGGGCTGAAGAAAGGAGTATGATGACCATTAATACCCACAGTATATGACATAGTTGAAACACATTGCATCACCATATGGATCCATTTTTCACAGAAGCCATGAGCTCTCATAATGTTTTCCAAGCAGTGCCAATCAACATTATCGTAAGCTTTCCGAATGTCTAATTTTAAGGCAATAACCCCATGTTTACCTGACTTTTTCAAATGTAAGCCATGGAAAGCTTCATGTGCAATTAGAATGTTGTCACGAATGGTTCTCCCTGGAACAAAATCAGATTGAAATGGAGAAATAAGGTCATCAAGATAAACTTTGAGACGATTAGCAAGTATTTTTGCAATAACTTTGTAAGTAAAATTGCACAAGGAAATGGGTCGATATTGTGATATCAACTCAGGATTCTTGACCTTAGGGATAAGTACCAGTTTGGTTTTGTTCATCTCTCTTAGCATAAAGCCATTAGTGAAAAAGTGCTGCACCGCCTTGCAAACGTCTGAGCCAACCATATCCTAGTGCTTCTGGAAAAAACATCTTGGGGAGCCATCAACTCCCGGGGCTTTAAATGCGCCCATTTGGAATACCGTAGTTTTTACTTCCTCATCAGAGACATTGCGGCATAGATCTGCATTCATTTCAGCAGTTACCGAAGGTCGGATAAGCCCCTCAATTTGGGAAGAATTACAATTTTCTGGGGAGGCATAGGCTTGTTGAAAGTGAGTATAAGCATGGGCTAGAATGGAGTCAGTACCTTCCAACAGTGTACCTTGATCGTTCTTCAATTGGAATATATAATTATTCTATCTTCTTCGAGATGCAGTGGCATGAAAATACTTGGAATTCCTATCGCCAAGGAGCATCCAATTGGTGCGGGCTGTTTGGAACCAGTATGCTTCTTCCTGTGACCATAGGATGTTAATTTCATCAACCAGGAGCTGTTGTCTTGTCAAATTCGTTTCTGACTGTTCTTCCAATTGCAATTCATCTAGTTCTTTCTATAATTGCCCCAGCACATGGCGAGGGCGTCCTATAGTATGCTTGCACCAACTGAGCAGATGTTTCCTACAATGAGAGATTTTAGAGGCCATGCAGTAGAGAGGGGAGCCAGATCGGTCTGTTGCCCAGCCCTGAGAAACTACTCCTTCATAATCCTTATGCTGTTGCCAAGTAAGTTCATAACGAAATTGTCGCCTGGAGAGCACAGGAATAGCTTTTAAACATAGTAAAAGTGGGCAATGATCAGAGCCAATTCTGGTGCAATGAAACAATTGAGCATTAGGATAGAGTTGACCCCACCGATCATTAATCAACGCACGGTCAAGTCTTTCAAAAATGGCTCCTCTTGACCATGTGTATTTGGCTCCTTTGTATGCAATTTCCCCGAGCAAACCTGAGCTGGTAAACTCTTCTAACAACCTTCTGTCTGTGACCAAGGGTGGGCGTTTACCTTTTTTATCAAAGCTATCCCCTACCAGATTAAGGTCCCCCATTACCAGCCAGGGAATTTCTGGAGGGCGCCGCACATTCATCACTCTACTCCACATAGTTCTTCGAAGTTGGGTATTAGGTTCCCCATAGATAAAAGAGAAATGCCAAGTAATATTATAGTCTGCATCAGAGCAGCTTCCATCAATCAGATTTTTGTCAGAGAAGAAAATCGAGATATGAACTTCATTCGTCCACCACAAGGCTAGACCCCCTGAATAGCCTTGCGGATCTACATACACTCCAGCAAAAAAAGATAGTCTCCTTTGTAACCATTCCAAATACCTCATATTCTTTTTAGTCTCCATCAAAAAAACTAAGCAAGGGCGATGTTTAAAGATAAGATCTTTTAGCACTCTTCTTGTCAGGGCTTGCCCAAGGCCCTGACAATTCCAGGAAAGAATGTTCATGTTGGTGAGGGTGGCTTCCAAGGGGCAGCCACCGAAGCCCCATCAGTGTCTTGAGTGTTGAAAAATTGCTCAGTTTCAGTTGATGGAGAATCACAGAAGTGTGTGGAGGTAAAACCCGGCAATGTGTTGACAAGAGGAGCCACGGGAATGAAAGGGGGGTCATTGAAGGAGAGTTGCGTGGGATGAAAATCTTGGAAGAGGAGAGATCGGGCATCCGGCTGGAACCTTACTTGACGAGCAAGAGCTTTCTGCTGAAGTCTTCTTCGAACTTTTCTCACGGTGATAGTCTCATCCACATCCGAGAAGAAACCGAGTTGGTCTTGAACGTGGAATTCAGGTCTATCTTGGGCTAAAGCTTGTTGTAATTGACGGGGGGAACACTGGAGTCCAGAAGCCTCAGTATCTCTAATACAAGTCCGTTCAAATATTTGCTCCAATGGGCTAAAATCAGTTTTTCGTTTTGTCCCCCGGTTTGTCAGCTTTCCCAGTGATAAATGGGTCTCTATTTGCTCAGAAAGTAAGAGGCCCATTTCAAAGTCCTGACAAGGCATCTCCGGCTCTGTTTGGATAGTAGCAATAGGTAGTTGAAGTCCGGATAGCTGGTTCAAGGTGCTAGACGTGTCTAGAGGCTGAGCAGATAAAAAATCTTGTTCACTGGTCTCCATCGCATTTAATGGAGGGGTGTGCTGCATTGGAGTGACAATAGATGCCGATGAGGATCCTAATCTCCCAGCTGGAAGAGTAATGATGCCTCTATGGGAAAGATCACCCTCCATTAAAGCAGTGGGTGGCTTTTGTGGTGGGTATTGATTCACGCGCCCTTCTACAGCAGCTTCTTCACTGTGCATTTCAGAGCTGTCCACGTCATGGACTGCTTTTGGAGTTACACCCACTATTGCGACCCTTACCGGCTGTCCTTCCTCTCGCCGGGTTGTGGTCTCATGGCCAGAGCTTCAGCATTCACCCAGAGATTATGTTTGGCCTCATGAATGGAGCCAAAGTGCTTCCTCGGAGAGTAAGCTGGAGCCCTCATATGTGGACCATATTGAGGGTGAGATTGAGTGGTAGGGTTTCCATCGTCGTCTGTCCATCTAAAATCAGTGCAAGTTTTTTTGGTATGTCCCAACATGCCACATCTATAGCAGAAATCAACTAATTTTTCATATTTAAATTCAGCTGAGCAAACTTCATCCTCCTGCGTGCGGAACTGGAAACCTGATAGCAGGGGAATATGAACATCTAGCTCGACCTGTAAACGCAGAAAGCTCTTCACGCCTCCCATGACAGATTTGTCCCAAGAAATTAAACGGGGAAATAGGGAGCCAATGATTTGAATATTTTCAAGAGTCATACAACCTTTTGGTAATCCATGGACTTGAACCCAAAAGGCTGAGTGTGAAAAGGAAATTTCATCAAATCTCTGTGAATCAGGCCAGTCCTTGAGGATGATGTGGGATCCCTTCACAAACCAAGGAGACTCTCGGAAGATGCGGTCTTTCTCCTTTCCATCCGAAAGGATAAAAATAAAGGTGTTCTTTGATTGCTCATGGACTTCTAATCCTCCACTCAGTCTCCATGCGCTTTTCAAAATGCTATACACTAGTCCGCTTTTAATGTGGTCTTCATCAGCCAGTAAATGACCAGCAAAGGAGAATCTGTGAAGCTCGTCTTGGTCCTCTGTTTTTGTCGTTAGGCAAAGTACTGGGGGATCTGGCACTGTATTGTTGCCCCCAGAATTTAATGGCTGATCATTAAGCATCAGTTCCCAGCGGCCAGGATCAGGTGGTAGGTAGGAAAAAAATACAGCAAATTAAAGCACAAACAGATACTGTACAAGTACAATATTTATAGAGCCCGAAGTTATTTATATAGATCACAGCAAGAGCCAAAGATGAAAACACTACAGCAGGACTGCAGCATGTAAGTGACCGTAGGAGATGACAAGTCTGCCAAAATTGAAACACAACCGTGAAAACTGCAGAAGCTATGGCCAAAAGTATAGATGGGGAAGGAAAGAAAACCTGAAGGTAACACCTCAGGAGAGCAGCCAAGTGGGAAACCCTAAAGAGAGAAGCTCCTAGAAACGGTTCCCTCAACAAAGTCACGAACTAATGGTAAAGCAACAGACTTATTATATATCAACCCCCTAAATATGGGTAGCCTGTTTTCATTTATGATCATTATTTTACTGTTTAATGTGGGCTAAAGTTAAAGCCCAATAGCTAGTCTGGGCTCTCAACTTGTAATTTTGAATCAAGTTCATTCCTAAACTTTATATATTACCAAATTCATCCTTAAACTTTATTAGGTTTTTCTAACATGTGCCTTGCACATGTTAAGAGTATTTTTTTTTATTATAAATGTATATAAAAAATTATGAAAGTTGATATTAATTTTAGTGTTAGTATCAAGTAGGTGAATTTAATTAAATAATTAATAAATTAAATATTGACTTTATTTTTTTAATATAAATTTATGATAAAAAATGTATTTAATACACCATTAAGATATAGGTTAGACAAACCCAATTTTATTTTTTTTAGTACTGCTCTGGTCTTTCTATCAATGAAATTGCCCAACTGTCTTGTTAACATGCCATGGAGTTATTTTTTAAAAATTCAAATAATGACGTAGAAAAAGAAACACAGTTATATGGGTGATTTGGTAATTTCCCTTGTTCCACATTTGATATGACAAGATAATAGGTTGTGTGGTATTTAACCTTTTAATTATAACCAAAATTGTATCTTAATTATCTTTTTTATATCTAATTATCTTAACTTGTGGATTTTAGAAGATTCAAACTTTACTTGTACCAATTCAATTCCTTAATCTTCATTCTTAATCGTTCCTCTTCAATACTCGACCATGTCACTTTTTCTCACTCTTCTACATAGTAGCTTCCTTATGCTTCTTGTTGATCTTCATAATGGTATTATTCTTTTGCCACTACCACCACATAATAGCTAACACCATTGTTGTCTCATTCGCTGAAGTAGTTGTCATCTCTATCTTATACAATCAAGCCGTCAACTACATCGCCTTCATAAAAAATGACAACTCCACTTGGTCAAGGTCTTGATTCACAAGGTCAAGATCCAAGTAATCAATAGAGCACAACAAATCATCCTCGAGTTTCTTCACCTTTGATGAGTCTAGCTTTAACTCGGTTTGCGCATCCTTAACTCACTTCTTAGTACACAACTCCTACATTATCTTAGAAAACCCATGTGCAAGATCAAAGGGAATATTCTTTCCTTTGAGCAAAAACTTCAAAAATCTATTGCGCTTCTTCAATTTCCTTAAATTTTGGCTTGTTAGCCTCATTAAACCATTGATTTGGGTTTTAAAACCTAGATGCAATCTACATGGGGTTCTATAACCTCGATTGGGGTTGGAATTTGATCTAGGTTTTGTAATCCAACTTTGGATTAGAACCTAATTTAGGTTCTAGAACCAAACCCAAGCTAAACCTTGCCAGAACATGAAGAATAAAAAGGAAATGGAGGAGAGTGAAAAGAGGCAAAGAAAGCCAATGCCAGTATTAAAGAAGGTAAATTGATATATAGAGAGAAAAGGGATTGGGAAGAAGATAGAAGGGCTACTTCTATATTTTTCACTTTATATAAAATATGTTAATAATAGAAATTTAGGACCCATCGCTTGATTTTTATTTTTGAAGAATCAAAATATCTAAGTGCCACACAGATCTGTTTGGAGTTCTATTTCATTTACATATCATGTTTAAAATTAAGAAAATTTTAGACAAAAAAATAATCCATGTTAGCATTTAACTGACAAAAGGATGCAGTTGGCATCAGAAGAACAATGTGTAAGGATGAATTTGATAATTTTTAAATTTTGGGGATGAATTTGGTCCAAAACTGAAAGTCAAGGGACCCAATTTGGGTACTTAACCAAAAGGTTAAAGCCCGATAGAGAGTGACAGTGTCACAGCAAGAATCCCATGCCACAGAAGTAGTTAATGGTTGCCACTTGCATTACAAGATACGGCACAGCCTCTACAAAAAGGCTACCAATTGAAATTCTAGACCCTTCATATCCTATCCCACCTTCCTCCTACGTGTCGCAAGATATTTTCCCATACTTCCCCTTCCACTTGCCGTTTATATACACTCGCCTGCTCTTCTATATACCTTAACTTTTCTCTGATATTATATCCGTCAGTTCAGTTCCGATCACCAGAAAATGGCATCCATGGCTACAACCTTTTCCTCTGCCCTCCCCGCTGCCAAACCCTTCAAGGGTTCTTTCTTTGATTCCTCTTTCCATGGAGTCCCTGTGACTTCCCCTGCTCTCCTTTTCAGGGCAAAACCCATCCCTTGTGCTGCATCGGTTTCTATGTCCGCGGCCACCCCGTCTTACGATTTGAATAACTTCAAATTCGATCCCATCAGGGAGTCCATCGTATCTCGCGAGATGACGCGGAGGTACATGATGGACATGATCACCCACGCCGATACCGATGTTGTGGTCGTAGGTGCTGGCTCTGCCGGCCTCTCCTGCGCCTACGAGCTCAGCAAGAACCCCTCTGTACAGGTGGCAATCATCGAGCAATCGGTCAGCCCCGGTGGTGGCGCGTGGCTCGGCGGCCAGCTCTTCTCTTCCATGGTAACGCTAAAAATTGGATTTGGATTTGGATTTGGATTTGGATTTGTTTGTTAAGACATTTTTTGGCCTCTTTAATTTTATTGAAAAGAGAAAGCATTCATCTTTTTGTGATTTTGGTTCTTTTTGGATGAAATTTTTGTGTGCATCTTTATGCAGGTAGTGCGCAAACCAGCTCATCACTTCCTTGATGAACTTGGGATCGAGTACGATGAGCAAGACAACTATGTTGTGATCAAGCATGCTGCCCTTTTCACATCCACCATCATGAGCAAGCTGCTCGCCCGTCCCAACGTGAAGCTGTTCAATGCTGTGGCAGCAGAGGACTTGATTGTGAAGGGAGGGAGAGTCAGTGGTGTTGTGACCAACTGGGCTTTGGTGTCAATGAACCATGACACACAATCCTGTATGGACCCCAATGTGATGGAGGCCAAGGTGGTGGTGAGCTCTTGTGGCCATGATGGTCCATTTGGAGCCACTGGTGTCAAGAGGTTGAAGAGCATTGGGATGATTGACAGTGTGCCAGGAATGAAGGCATTAGACATGAATACAGCTGAGGATGCTATTGTCAGGCTGACTAGGGAGATTGTGCCTGGGATGATTGTTACTGGCATGGAAGTTGCAGAGATTGATGGAGCCCCAAGAATGGTAAAATTCTGCACTTCTATTGATTATGAAATTTAACCATATATATATGCTTCAAATTTACATCTTCCAATTTCTGTGAATTGGGATTTGACCATGTACTTACCATGGTTAATCATGTTATGCAGGGACCAACATTTGGAGCTATGATGATCTCAGGGCAGAAGGCAGCTCACCTTGCTCTAAAGGCAATGGGACTGCCTAATGCCATTGAGGGGCAAAACATTGGAAACATTGACCCTGAGCTGATCCTGGCTGCTGCAGAATCTGCTGAGATTGCTGAAGCTTGAATTTGTATGTACTAATAGATGAAGTAGAGAGATGAGGAATTGAAATAATGGCTGATAATAGATGGTAGATATTATCATGCGGTGGTTGCTAATAATTTGGGTCTATTGCTGTTTGTTTTTCCTCTTTGGAACTCAGTAGACCTTCTTGTTGTTGTTATCTTCTTGGCTAGAAGCCTAGAAACTTTTGTTTCTAAGTTTCTTTTAGATTAGAAAATCAAGCTCTTATATGTGAATCATGTATAAAGGGGCATTTACTTAAAATTATAAAAACATAATTTGCCTTTAGTTTAACTTTGCCCAAAGGCGAACTGGTTACCACATTGATTAACGGATGAAGTACACACTAATAACATATTCCCTTGCCTGCAAGTCTAAGGCTTCATTTTACAATAATCTATCTATGTTTTTGGGTTTCTTTAAGAATGTAATTATTGTATTTTTTTTTACATTAACTAGTATTAAAAAAATATCAAAATTAACATTAATTTCACCACTATTGTTATATATATCATTTTAATTAGATAGTGAAAATAATACCCAATTTGTATTTTTTAATATTAATGAGAATAATGACAAATGGAATTAAAATCTGATAACAATAACGTAATATAAATTACGTTATTTAAAATATTAAAAAATAAATTTTATATTATTTAATGATAAACTCTTTTTGTTTTTTAGAACTCATGATATTATATTTATTAACTAATTTAATGAGGTGACATTAGTTTTAAATTTCATGTCAAAATTTTGTCCTCCCTATTGTTATTCTTAATTAATGTTTAAAAATATAATTATTACACC